GATTACAAAAAACAACAGTGACTCTTGTAGAATTATGCTATATATAAATAAATATATATGTACACATGTTCTTTATATATATTGCCTCACTTAGGAAAACAACCCTGTAGGGTAGAGGTCATTACTGTTCTCATTTTAAAGAAAAAAATTTGAACCAGAGAAGTTAAGTACTTGCCCAAGGTCACAGAGGTGAAGTGCTGTGGTTCGGATTTAAAACAAGGGACACATGTTCTGCTTTGTGAAACTTGTAACTGCTGAAGACCTAAGTGGAAGTCTGAAGGTAGTGGGAGGCCACCATGTGGCACTGAGGTGTGCACAGATGGAGAGGAACCAAAGGTGCTGTCTTGCATGTCCAGTATCAAGTTCTTCCTGCAGCCAGAAATACCTAATTCTGCTCTTGTAAGTTACATGAATCAGTGGATTTTTCTGTATGACTTCAACCCTTGTGAGACAGGTTTCTTTGCCTTCCAACTGAACGAAACCACATGCAGAAGCTGGTTCCAGGGAGCAGAGGTTGACAGTGCTGGACACTGATGTGGCATTGACTGAGCTTATGTGTGGAGAGGGGTAATGAGAGGAAAGCCTCCACTGCCAGCAGCAGGATTAACACTACTGGTTATGCTGCAGTGCGTTAACTGCTCAATTGCCCCCTGTTGGTTTTTGATATTCAGACCACTTATTTTTCAAGCTGTAGCATTAGGGGTCTTGGAGAAAATTAGGATGTTGAAGTTGGCCACTTGTTACAGCCTCCAGGAAGGCCTGCTCCAGTTATCTAATGATATGTACCAAACCGCTCTGAAACGCAGCAGCTTAAAACACACATTTATTATGAGCATTCACAGTATGTGGGGTGCCTGGGCTCACTCAGTGGTCAGTGCCTGGAGTCCGTCATGTTGCCATCCACTGATGGACTAAGAAAACTCAGCTGGGTTGGACGTGCAGCCTGGTGCTCTCACAGGGCAGGGAGTTGATGTGGGTGGTTTTCTGGGAGCTCAGTTAAGCTATTAACCTGAGTGCCTTCAGGTGGCATCTGTAATCATGGAAGCTGATTATTTTGGGTTAAGATTTATTTATTTTACAGACAGAGTGAGAGAGAGAGAGAGAAAGAGAGAGAGAGATCATTCATTCATTCACTGGTTCATTCCCCAAATGTCTACAACAGGTTGGGTCTAGTCCATGCTAAAGCCAGGAGCCCAGAACTCCATCTGTGTCTCCCATATGGGCCTAAGCACTTGAGCTATATACCACTGCTTTTCCAGGTACAACGGAGTGAACTGGATTGGAAGTGGAGCAACTGGGACTCAAAACAGCAGTTTGACATGAGATTCTGGTGTTGCAGGCTGAACCCATGAGCCACAAACCTGGGCCCTAAGCTCTGTTTTAAGAGGGTGTGTCCTGGGCCCATATGGATGCCAGTTCAAGTCCCGGCTGCTCCACTTCCAATCCAGCTCTCTGCTATGGTCTGAGAAAGCAGTAGAAGATGGCCCAAGTGCCTGGGCCCCTGCACCCATGTGAGAGACCTGGAAGATGCTCCTGGCTTCTGGCTTCTGGCTTCGGATTGGCACAGCTCTGGCGGTTGTGGCCAATTAGGGAGTGAACCAACAGATGGAAGACCTCTCTCTCCCTCTCTCTCTCTCTCTCTCTCTGCCTTTCCTTCTCTCTCTGGGTAACTCTTTCAAATAAATAAATCTTTAAAAAAAAAAAAAAAAAGAGGGCATATCCCAAGCATTCAAAAGGCCTGGATTTTAAGCTAGCATTCTGTCACTTATGACAGAGTCAGATGAACCCATTAGTTTTCAGAGGAAAGGGTCAGAGAAGGGCAGGCATGCTGGGAGGTACAGCTTTCTGGGATCAGCGTGGTGCGCCAGCCACAGCAGCCATTGGAGGATGAACCAACGTAAAAAGGAAGAACTTTCTCTCTGTCTCTCTCTTTCACTGTCCACTCTGCCTGTCCAAAAAAAAAAAAAAAAAAAAATGTCAGACAGAAAGAATTCAACTTTCCTTGGACTGCCACGGGCCCTGGGGAACACAGACAGGGGGACTGACTACTGGATGCAGATCTTTATCCCTGTTCCTCCTCCCTGGTAGCAGGAAGAGCAACACCTGCTGAGCCTTGCACCGACCACCCAAAGCAAGTCAAGGGGATTCTGAGAGGAAAACCTCTTGACATGGTGGGGGTGCACAGGTGAGATTGCTGTTTATCAACCCAGATTGGCTTAGAGCAGCACCATTTATTCTCTCCCAGATACCAGTCTGCTGGAGTGAATGAACCTGCCTCTTACCTCAGGTGTGTATGTGACCTGGGGCACCTCAGGTGTATTCCACTGTGGCCCAGGAGGCAGCCACTGGAGGGAAAGTTTTCTTAGGGAAATAGCACACGTGGGAGAGGGGGACCCCACCCAGGCCAGCACATCTCAAGCTGTTGTTTGCAGGGCATCTGCTAACAATTCATTGGCCAAGAGCTGAGCCCCTTCAGGGCACTGGGTATTCCCATTCCCAAGAAGGTTGGCCATGGATGTTTTGAATAACATTAGAAGCCTGAGCTGTATTGGGTTCAACTGCTACCTGTGGCATCCTATATGAGCACTGGTTCAAATTTGGCTGTTCTTCTGATCCAGCTCCCTGCTAATGTGCCTGGAAAAGCAGTGTTGGGTGGCCAAAGCACTGGGGCTCCTGCCACCCACATGGGAGACCCAGATGGAGTTCCAGGCTCCTGTGTCAGCCTGGCCCAGCCTCTGCTGTTGCAGCCATTTGGGGAGTGAACCAACAGATGGAAGATCTCTTTTTGTCCCCCCCTCCACCTCTAATTCTGCCTTTCAAATAAATAAATCTTAAAATAATTGAAATTCTGTGCCTGCAGAATCTTACCTGGGTGTGTCTGGCATAAAAGGGAGAAGTCTGGATCTGCCTGTAAAGTGTTAGCCATCCTTGTCATGGAGCAGCAGCATAACACATGGTTGGGATTTTCTATGTTATTTTCCACATTTCATACACTTATGATGTCATGTTTTCATAATCAGAACACACATGACAGAGAAAATGCCTTCTGAGAAGCCTTGTCCTCAGCTGAGGGAAGCAAGAACAAGACAGCCTCGATGGAGGGGATGAGGGCTGGGACTTTGGTTTTTCATCCCAGTGGTTTGCAAAGGGAAAGTGAATGCTGCAAAACCCGCCTTGTTTTCTAAGCTCGTTCAATTCTGTGGTCAGGGCAGAGGCTAAAGAGCTGCTGTTTATAAGACGTTGACTTTTATTCAGGGCCGAGTGACAGGAAACTTTTGGTGGAATGGATGTCCATGCTCCATCCTGTTAAGAAGGCGATGAGTGCCTGGGTCAAGGATGCTCACTGTCTTCTCGGATTCCTCTGCTCTCCCTGTCCCCATCTGCAAAATGCCAAGGCTGAGTGCAGTGATCGGTGAGGTCCCTTGCAGATGTCACTTCCAGTAATTCCACTGTTCCTCTCCAGATCTAACACGTTAAAAGACGCACCCCAAAGGAAGAGTTCTAATTCTCTCCCTGGCCTTGTGCTGACGTCTTTATGGTAGCTCACACAGAAGCACACGTGGGAGCTTCTTTTATTATTGTTTCCCAGTTGCACAAATATTAATAGGTATTGTGGAAATTTAAAAACACAAAAAGGATGGGCATTTGATGTGGCACTTGAGACGCTCGCTGTTCCAGAGCCCTCATCCCCTATACGAAGGCCTGGGTGGAGTGCCCATTCTGCTTCTGATTCTGTCTTCCCACTAGTGTACAGTAGGCATTAATGGGAGGAATCGGTGATGGCTGAAGTGCTTGGGTCCCTGCTACCCATGTGGGAGTCCTGAATTGAGTTCTAGGCTCCTAGCTTTAGCTTGACCCGGCCCCTGCTGTTGCATGCTTATGAGGACTGAACCAGTGATGAAAGTTCTCTCCGTCTGTCTCTCTACCTTTCAAATAAAATTAAATATATAAAAAAATAAGGGCTTAGCCTCCATCTACCTTTAAAAAATAAAAATACAAAGAAAAAATTTACTTATAATTCCACCACCGTTAACTTTTTTTCCTTCTTTTTTTTTGACAGGCAGAGTTAGACAGTGAGAGAGAGAGAGACAGAGAACAGTCTTCCTTCCATTGGTTCACTTCCCAAATGACCACCACAGCTGGTGTGCTGTGCTGATACGAAGCCAGGAGCCAGGTGCTTCCTCCTGGTCTCCCATGCGGGTGCAGGGCGCAAGCACTTGGGCCATCCTCCACTGCACTCCCGGGCCATAGCAGAGAGCTGGACTGGAAGAGGAACAACTGGGACAGAATCCGGCACCCCAACAGGGACAAGAACATGGAGAACTGGTGCCACAGGCGGAGGATTAGCCTAGTGAGCCACAGTGCCGGCCCACTGTTAACTTTTATAATACATTTCCAGTATTTTTCCATTGCATGTGTACCAGAACTATTTTGAACAACTATTATTTATTTGAAAGGCAGAAATTGAGAGAGAAATAAGTAAAGCACTGGTTCACTCCTTAAGTGCTTGCAACTTCTGGGCATGGGCCAGGCTTAAGCCAGAAACCAGTAACCTATCCTGGTCTCCCGTATTAGCGGCAGGAATTTGAACCATCATCTGCTGCTTCCAAGGTGTGTTTGCAGGGGGATGGATCAGAAGTGGGTAGCCAGGACTCTAATAAGCACTCTAATAATCAGTTGCTGATCTCTCAAGTGGTGGCTGAACCTGCTGTGCCACAATGCCCTCCCCTGAACTGACCTCATTTTTATTTCTGCTTTATAAGTTGTGACATTTCCTGTACAATTATCTTCTAATCTATTATTTTAATAATTACTAAACTAATATTTTAATAATTACTAAACTAATGACTTCTAACATTTTAATAATTTAATAATAAAATTATTAAATGAGATTTAATAATTTAAAAAATTTTCTTCATGGATTACAATAGCAGTAACCCATTTTTGACCTTTATGTGTTTTTAGTGTGGGAATGGATGAAGAGTTTGAACAGGCTGAGTTTGAAATACTGGATCTAGGATTCCTTACAGAGTGTGTGACTGGCCAGAGGTCCTGACACCTTTAAGACTCAAGTGGAAACACAGCATCTACTATCTATGGAAGATTTCTTGTGAAGATGAAATAATACTGGTTATGACACAGGTCAGTGTCCCAATCATGCATCCCATGCTTGCTCCCCACCCTGTCTCCTGCCTTCATTAGCAGCTTCACTTTCCACAGAGGACCCTCCAACTCTCTCTGTGGAACCGGAAAAGGAAGGCTGCAAACACTTGGTAATTAGATCATAGTATTTCTGATTTGAGTAAAAGATATGTACACATACATACACACACATATGTATAAGCCTGTATATATACTTATAAAAGGTATATATATGTTCATTCTTGTGAGGTGATTGCTCTTGTCCCCAAGCTGGGTACAATACAGCATGAGTTAACCAGGTGTTTGGGTATCCCCAGCACCAGACAACCCTGTGAAGTCAGCCAGGGGCCATATGCCCTTTGCATTTCTCTGTGGAGAGGACATGCAGTAGATGAGGGGACCCAGAGCACCCACGGATCCTTGTATTAGGGACTCTTGTGTCCCTAGCTGCTCAGCCTCCAAATGACCCATCCTTTATATTAACAATACCATGTAGGGCAGCCTAGAACACGTTTGATCCCTAGGTCCCTGTCCTTTAGAGGCTGGTGGTGACATGAAGGACAAGCTGTCCCCTGTAAAGGAGGGGGCTTTACAGAAACAGCCCTGTTCTCACACGGAGCAGAGTTCCTTTAAGATAATTTCTTACAAGTATAATTACCCTTTTAAGTTTGGGCAGCTTTAAGGCTTTTAATAAATATACACTATTTTACCCTCATAATGATTTCAGAAATTTACACTCTGTTTTCATGTGTTTTTTACCAAAATTAGGAAAAAGTACATAGCTAAATTCCACTATTATGATTCTAAAATTAATATATGCATGCTTACTGAAAGAGCACCCAATTTTTTAAAAAATCCAGTGCATTTTTCTACAAAATGAGCTCTGCATCATTATTTTTAATGCAAGCTAGCATTCCATGGTATCATAGTGTTTGATGTAGTCAAGTATTTATTAATTTGGTTAGATATATTATTTTGTTATTTGCTAAATTTTACAGTGAGTCTTGAAAATATATCTTCATAAATTTGTTCAATTATACCGTCAGTATAAATTTTAGAAATGAACTTGCAGAGTTAAAGGATAGTCAAGGGGCTGGTGTTGTGACGCAGTGCGGTAAGCCACTACTGGCATCACACACTGGAATGCTGGATTGAGTCCTGGCTACTCTGCCTCATCCAGCTTCCTGCTAATGCGCCAAGGGAGGCATCAGAAGAAGGCAAAGATGGCCTAGGTGTTTGGGCCCCCCACCAGCCATGTGAGAGATCTGCATAGAGTTCCTGTCTCCTGATATAGCCTGGCACACACTTCGCTTCTGTGGCCATTTGAGGAGTGAACCAGTGGATACAAGATCTCCCTCTCTCTCTCTCTCTCTCTCTCTCTCTGCCTTTCAAATAATTTTTTAAAAAAATAATCTTTAAAGAATAAAAGTAGGCCGGCGCCGCAGCTCACTAGGCTAATCCTCTGCCTGTGGTGCTGATACCCCGTGTTCTAGTCCCAGTCGGGGCGCTGGATTCTGTCTCGGTTGCTCCTCTTCCAGTCCAGCTCTCTGCTGTGGCCCGGGAGTGCAGTGGAGGATGGCCCAAGTCCTTGCGCCCTGCACCCACATGGGCTTCTGGCTTTGGATTGGTGCAGTGTGCCGGCCGTAGCAGCCATTTGGGGGGTGAACCAACGGAAGGAAGACATTTCTCTCTCTCTCTCTCTAATTGCCTGTCAAAACAAACAAAAATAATAAAAATAAAGGATAGGCAGTCTTAGAACTTTCTGTTTTAAATCTACTCATTATCAGATCACTCCTAAAAAGGTTATGCTAACTTTGCCTCCCGCTAGGAGTAACCGATTCTGAATGACATTGATGACATTGATTATTGTTATTTTTAGCTTTGCTTTTTTTTGGATCAAAAGGTACAATGTTTAACAACATTTAACTATTTATATTGCTATTTTTTCTAAATTGTATTTCTTAATTTGCTGATAACTTTGATATGTTTTGTTTATAAGCCATTGACATTGGTCTCCTAGGGGATTTCCTATATTTTTTTCTTCTTTTTTAACTGAGATTCTGTTTGGTTTGCTGTGTATACTATTAATATTGCATTAATAATTATATATAAGCAATTTAATAGCACATATTAGTTATTGCTATGTATTAGATTATTTTTCATATGTATTTTAATTTCACGAGTTTTTCATGTGACTCTTACCTGTCCTTTACATGCCAAGCTCAGAATGTTCTTATCCCTAGATTACAGTTTTTCAAGTTATCTTAAAATTGTATTTCCATTATTTGAATCTTGAATTTCTCTGGAATCATTTAGATGGAAGCTAGAGATCAGAACCTAATTTTGGGGGGCATTTAATTGAGTAATTTTATTGAAATAAAGGTGTGTCTGTTTACACTGAAAAAAAAAAGTTCTCGTTGGCACTTTGCTGGGGACAGCACCTTTGAAATTAAGGCCGTGGTGCTGCTACTCAAACAGGCAGATCACAGTGCCAGCCTCCTTCTCAGCACAGGCCATGAGGATGGCAGATGGGGAGTCCTCTGTGCTTTGCAGAAGCTCCCACTTGTGCTCTGGCTTCTCGATCCTCCTGGGAATGCCAACTCTACCCCTAGCTCTTCAAATCTGGAGGGACAGTTTCTTCATTCAACAGTTATTGAGGTTCTGACTGACTCTTTAGTGTTAAAAAGGAGTATCTCAGGTGCCCTGCCCTGAGATAGTTTACCACGGAGAAGGTATCATCTCCACCAGCTCACATCCCAGTGCAGGCAATAGGTATATGACAGCACTGACTGGCACTCATCATCAGGGCCAAACTGTAATAGCTGCACACAACTGTGGGTGCATCAGTACAAACCCCCCAAAACAGGGAAGGAAGAAACTGTGTGATAAATGGAACATTCTTCCATTGGATGAATCTAGGTCTGCAGTGGAGACATGCTGAAAATGAGGGCGATCAGCAGGGCAGCATCGTGCAGAAGCACTCCGTAATTCCCTAGCTCCTTCGGTCCCTTCACTACAGTGAAGATATCATTCAGGAACACAAAAATACAGCGTCCAGATGAAAGGCACCATCAGAGCCTCTCTGTGGCCCCGCCTCCACCCCCATTGTGTTGAATGGTTAATCAGAATCCAGTTTCATTTTGTCCAAATTTAGCCAGTTTTCCTGTCACCAATTATAATAATAATACATTGTTTATACATATGAGATTTGCCTGTATCGTAGACTACGTTTCATTTTGTCTGCTTTAGAAATCTGAGCTCATGTTCTTTGCCCCATTTTCAGTGTGTGCACCCTGATTACTTGGGTTAAATCATTGAGGCTTTTAATGTGGCCTGAAATATGTGCTCTTTCATTACTCTTTGTGAACATTTCTTCTATTTTCATACAAATAAATGTGATTCCAGTACAAATCAATATCCCCATTTTAATGTTGTTGATGAATTTATAGATTAATGTAGGAGGAAAATGACATTTTTGCAATTGTGTCTTTCCTTCCAGGAACATGTGAGGTCCTAATATTACATTCGTTAGACATGTGTCATTTCTTTCAGGTAAGTCTTGTTAAATTTATATAGGCCATGCTATTTGTTGCATAATATCAAAATACTTTATTCTTAATAGCACCAGTTTGTATTGATATAAAAGCTTTTTCTTTTGTAAAGATTACTTTTGTAACCTAAAATGATCCTTAATTGTTGTCATACATTTTAACATGCTATTTTTAATTTTTATTTCTTTTTTAAATTAAAAAAATGTTAAGGTAAACACATTTCATGTATTTCATGGATACAGATTTAGGAACACAGTGGTACTTCCCACGCATGCTCCCACCCTTCTTCCTCCTTCTTTTCTTATTTCCTCTCTTAATTTTTATAATGATTATTTTCGATAAGTGAATAGTTCAACAAAAATACGAATTACACAAACACTGTTCCTCAACAGTAGAGACAAGGGATGTAAACAATTATCGAATCTTAAAATGTCAGTTTCACTGCTACACATTACATTTTTGGTACACAAATGTACACAGATCTGGTAAAATACGATATTTGTCCTTTTGGGACTGGCTTATTTCACTAAGTATAATGGTTTCCAGTTGCATCCACTTTGTTACAAAAGGCAGGATATCATCCTTTTTATGGCTGAGTAGTATTTCCTAGTGTATATGTACGACAGTTTCTTTATCCAGTCATCAGTTGATAGACATCTGGGTTAATTCCTAGTAAGCAATCATACTTGCAAATCATGATAATTTGGGTCATTTTAGCTTCTAATTATACATTTTTCCCCTTTGAGGCATTAGCTAGAGGTTCTAGGACAAAAAAACATTCTGGTGATGTTAGGGTTCCTTTTTTCCTTCTTGATTTATTAGCATGCTTCAAAATATGAACAATATTTTCTATGGATTCTGATTTTCTTCAATGACATTTAACTTTTACTTTCCCAGAATCTACTAAGAGATTCATGCATTTTTCTTCCTCTTATGTGATGAGTTAAATAATGTATATTTCTATTAAATTATTGTTGAATTTCCAGATAAAGTCTTTATTATTTTTTGACTCTGTTTTATATTATGCCACAGGATTCAATTTTATCAGACTTGGTTTATGATGTTACAATTTACAGCCATTTCAACATTTTACTCCTCCTCTTCTTTCTCCTCCTCCTCATGCATGAATAAGCATGATCAGACATAAGCTGAATGCATAAAATATCTTAAAATGTACTTACATAATTTTTACCTTTAACATTATTCTTAAGGTATGTGTCATTATTTTACTTCAGGAAAATGATTTAGAACAGTTAAGTGTCCGAGTCATAAAATATTTCTTTGCAATAGAGCAAGAATTTTAATGTAGTTCCAATTAATTTCTAAGCCTCTGATTTTAATCATTTCATGTATCCTTTATTTTTAGTGGAAAGATCGGTACATAGATTATTTCTGAGAGTTCTCTTTGTCAAATTTTATTTTCAGGGGTTGGGCTCATCTAGTAAAACAAGTTGAAATGCTTTCAGTCTTTTGAAATGTTATTAAATATTTTAAATATTAAATTAAAAATATCCCCTCTATCTGAAAATATGTTTATTGTTCCAGAAGAGTGTATTTTCATTTTTCCTGTATCAAACTTGCTTGATTTTACACATTTTATTGGCTTTGTAAAAGAAAAAGTACTCTATATATCAGTTAGGATGTTTTTCTCAGTTTGATTTGGTTTAAGAATTATGTCTTAGCTTCTTGGATTACATACCCATTTCATTAACTCTCTAAAATGATCATGAGACCAAACAAAGCTCGTGTTTTTATCCTTCTTCCAATGTCCTACTGAAAAGACCCTACTCTTGTAATAGGGATAAATGCACACAGTCAATAAAGCACAAAATATGTAAGAAATTCAGTGATCAAGGGAGCATGTGACAGTAGGGAAGGGTTGGTGAGTAGGAAGGAAAGCCCTCTAGGAGTTTAGGGGAAGGATTCTACCCTACCTCACACACATGAACATGGACTACAGAGCAAATCCATTAAACCATGACATAAATGTTCTCACGTGTGTCTCTTAGTACCACAAGATCTTTGACAATTCATTTGTCCAGCGAACAGTATAAACAATGAGAAAAGTGAACTCAAGAAAACAGAAATTGAAAAAAAATACATTAGTAAATTTTAAAGATTAAAAATATTTGAGAACAACAACAAAAATCCCACCGATAAAACAGTGATCACTAAACTAAATTAAAATTTCAGCAGAAGTAGTGGGTATTACATAACCAAACCAAACAAGAAACAAAACACAAAGGATAGAACTACATATCTAGCCTAATGTTTTGTTACTCCTATGCCAAATATCCTCATTCCTCTCCCCACAGGCCCTCTGCAGATTACTTATGTAACTTGATAATACTTTGCCTGTCTGACGAATGCCTCTCTGTCACAGACAGGCACTTGATGTACTTTGGTCAGCAAAAAGTGAGTGAGTGGACTTAATGAGTATGATGCTGAACCGGGACTTTGACCACCTGTTGGGCCCCACTCTCTTCTCTTTGCTTCTCTCTGAAGACAGCCATGGAAAACCATATGGGGCTGCTCATTCAGCCCAGGGCCTATCTACAAGTAACCTGGGGCAGCTGATGCCCACATAGCACAAGGGAAATAGAATCCTTTCTTATTAGAAGCACTGAAATGTCAGGATTGTTTGTTATCACAATGTTTGGTAGTCAGCTGGCTGATTCCACAAGCTTGAGTAATTATCCCAAATTCGGGGGGGAAGCATAAGAATGAGTGAATATGAATTTTAAAGATAAAACTTGAAAGACAGGTGGGATAAGAATCCAGAACACATGGGGAAGGAGTTCAAAAGCATATTGTGATTAAATTGGAAGCACAAGAAGGGCATGAGTCGATCAGGGAATGATTACATTCTATAGAACAGTAATATTTCTGTTGTGAAATGTGTCACTATTGTTCCCTTATTTTTTATTCAATGCAACTTTGCAGATTTCTTCTTTCAATTCCAGGACATTTTTCCTGATTACCTCTGATCCTCAAGTGTGTAGAACAATGAGTGATACCAAGTTAGTTCTTTTTGAAGCATCTAAAGGAAATGACTATTTTTCATGATAATTCATCTTCTTTCTGTCTTATTGGTCCCTTGTTCCTGGCAGAAAACCAAAGGCCCCTGCTCTGTCCTGAATGTGCACACCCCCTACACACAAGTTCCCCTCATGGTTCCCATGTTGGAAGTTAATTGCCGATGTTGTAGTGTGAAGAGGTGGGCCCTTAGGGTGTGGTTAAGTCCTGACAGTGAGGCCCTCACAGATGATGGACTGCCGGGGTGGAGGGAGTGGGTGCTGCCTTTCCCTCCGCTGAGGGCACAGCAGTGAGGCATCATCCTGCAAGCCCGCGGCAGCCCTCACTGGACACACCAAACCTGTGCTGCCCTCACAGGTGCTCCCCACGCTCCAGCACTGGGAGGAGTGAATTTCTATTTTTTGTGAATCACCTACCCTCAGGCATTTTGTTAGACCATTGCAAGCAGACGAAGCTGTTTTATCCTTGGTTTTCTGAGTTGGAAGGGGTACGGGAAGCTAGCTTCAGAGCCTTCACTTTCTCCAGAGAAACAGGCAGGTTCTCTCTTTTTTTTTTTTTTTTTTCGACAGGCAGAGTTAGACAGTGAGAGAGAGAGACAGAGACAGAGAGAAAGGTCTTCCCTTTGCTGTTGGTTCACCCTTCAATGGCCGGCACAACTGGCGCGCTGTGTCCAGTGCACCACTGCTGATCTGAAAGCCAGGAGCCAGCTGCTTCTGGTTTCCCATGGGATGCAGGGCCCAAACACTTGGGCCATCCTCCACTGCACTCTCGGGCCACAGCAGAGAGCTGGCCTGGAAGAGGGGCAACTGGGACAGAATCCAGTGCCCCGACTTGGACTAGAACCTGGTGTGTCAGTGCCGCAAGGCAGAGGATTAGCCTATTGAGCCACGTCACCGGATGAAACAGGCAGGCTCATCTTCACTCCCTGCTTCCTAGGCTGGAAAAGGGAAAGCTCATCCAGTGAACTGTGGTTGAGAAATCAGTTCTTTTGCTTTCTGTAGATCTGTTGTAATACATATTTAAAAACTAGTTATTTAAAAGTAAAATCCAAGGCATACTGGAGTTCTTGTTTCTCTTATTTCAAAGTGTAGCATGATCTGTGCTGTGGTGTAGCAGCACCTCCTGCAGTGCCAGCATCCCACATGGGTACCAGTTTGAGTCCTGGCTGCTCCACTTCCAATTGATTTCCCTGTTAACATGCCTGGGAAAGCAGCAAAAGATGCCCCAAGTGCTTGGACCCCTGCCACCCACGTGGGAGACCTGGATGAAGCTCCTGGGTCCTGGCTTCCGACTGCCCCAGCTCCGGCCTTTGCAGCCATTTGGGGAATGAACAAGTGGATGGAAGACCCCCCTCTCTCTCTGCCTCTCTGTCTAACTCTGCCCTTCAAGTAAATAAATAAATCTTAAAAAAAGACAATGCATCATATACCATCATCTCTCAGTTGATAAGGAAAAAAAGAGCACTTGAGTTTTAAGATAAAAACACATTTTCTCCTAAGTAGCAAACATATGAGGGCACTTCAAAAACTTCATGCAGGGGCCCGCACTGTGGTGTATTGGGCTAAGCCTCTGCCTGCTGTGCCAGCATTCCATATGGGTGCCCATTCATGTCCCAGCTGTTCCTCTTCTGATACAGCTCTCTGCTGATAGCCTGGGAAAGCAGTGGAAGACAGCCTAAATGCTTGAGTGATCAGAAATCTGTGAGTGATCAGAGCCTATCACTCCAGGCCTCTGCCTCACAGGCAACAGTTGATGATTTGGGGAGAGAGAGCTGCAACAGTGAAATGACAGTGAAATTGCAGACAACGCAGCAATGCCTGGTCAGCCACCCCCCAAATACCTGTAGGATGAACACAGATGACCTCGAGGTAATAACCCACATGAGGTCATCCCATCCGCACTCAGTGAGAATTCGCATGTTTGCGGCAGTCCTCAGGCACCCCAGGCTCTCAGGGCAGCCACTAG